CAGCTAGATCAGGAGTGGAAACATAGAAATGAAGATCTCAAGGAGGGTTAGCAACAGGGGAGTGGGAAGAGGAGAAGGGGGAGAAGGTACAGAAAATAAGTAGCATAGACAGTAGATAGAAAATAGATGGGGGGGCAAGAATAGCATGGGAAATATAGAACCTAAAGGACTTGAGACACATGGACATAAACTAAAGGGGGGCAATGGTGGGGTTGGGGGGGGCAGGGTGGAGGGGAATGAAGGGGGGAATAGAACAACTGTAACAGCATAATCAATTTAAAAAAATAAATTAATTTAAAAAATATATATATATATATTAAAAAAAAAAGACTATCCAGGGTAAAGAAAATCTACAAAGCAAAGAGATAATCTGAATTAACATGATGAGATTAAATTCCAGAGCACCAGGCGGACCCCAGACAGCTTTCCTGACCCACAGTGCACGTGAAAACACAGAAGCATCTTCAAAGGCCGAAAGCAAAACAACTTTGAACCAAAACTGGAAATGCAACCAAAATATGTCCAAAAGGGAAGTGTAATAAAGACTGTCTTAGACATACAAGGCTCTAAATTAATCGCCACCAACCCCCTATTTCACACGTGTACACACACACACAGTTAAATCTTTAAAGGTTTTACCATAAAATGACTTTAATAATAATCTGGAACTAAATTTCCAGATGATGAAAATACGGGAGATGGGGGAAGGCAAAAGAACTAAAAAAAAGTTTCCCTTTTGAGTGGAGAATATAGATACTGGTGATATTTATTTTTCTAATAAAATTTCAGTTAAAGTATCTTCTTTAAGGGCAACACACAGAATAGCACTAAAATAGATACTCCTATCACATGCCGGATGGCCCACTCATATGACAAATCTAAAAAGTATTAAAGGATATATTTTAGAATTAATTATAGTATGTACCAGTTTTGGTGTGGACATAGCCTTTTATTTATCTTGGATAAATATCGAGGATGAATGACTAGACTGTGTGGTAAGTACATGTTTAACTTTTCAAGAAGCTACCAAAATGTCTTGCATACCAGTCAGCGTCCCCACTAGCAGTGGGCAAGGGCTCCAGCTCCCACGTGCTCATCACTGCTCAGTGTGACTAGCCCTGTAGAGGACAGACAGGGAGGGAAGGAGGCAGACAGACAGCTCTGTGACATTAACCATCTGTTGTGGGGCTTATTTGGATCTCCTGTGATAAAGTGTCTGTTTAAATCTTTTGCCCATTTTTTAATTGCGTCATTAGTCTTATTATTGGCTACAATTCCAACAGGACTTCTGTCTTTTTGGCAAAATGAACCAAGATGAGGTGGCAATTAAAATGATGTTGCAATGGAACAAGACTCAACAAATAGATCATCAAAGGCACTAGACAGAAAGTACGGCAACGCACTGTGCGTATTTGGGAACTCAACACAGAACAGCAACATCATTCAAAACTGGTTGGGGCCAGAGAAATTACTCCATAAGTGGTTCTGGGACCAATGGTTGTACCACACTTACATCCTTATCTCATACTACAAACAAAAATTAAATCACAGGTTGATTGCATATTATACTTAACCATCACTGTATTTTAAAATGATTAACCCTAATGAAATCATGGTTTTAAATGATAATCATCAACAGCTGCTACATCCCCAAAAAGAAAAGCAATCAGACACAAAGTGCTTCTTGATGGAAGTACACAACACTTATGAAGTACTCTTGCCAAAAAGCTCGAGCTTTAATGTGATCACATCTCTAGTACTAAGCATCCCTTCACAAGGATTGAGGAATGTGTCTAACACAGGATGCTGTCAGCAAAACCAGACTCTGGAAAACTTTACAGGCCAAACAGCCTGTCTGTTTCAAATAATATATTACAGAGGGGTAGGAATAGAGGAGTAGGTAACCTACCAATTGAAAGAGATTTGAGATACACATCACTGTTGCAAGGTATGAACCTTATTTGAATCCTGAATCAAACTCATGGTTAAATATGCAGAGACTGCACATGTACTATAAAACATCACTCAAGCACCCACCAAGGCACCGTGCAGGGAATGGCAGGCAAAGGTAAGGAGAGGGGAGACACAGGGGCCCTCTCCTGGGGACACCACCACATTCCCCAACTTGTGCACAGATAGGGTTTGCTATGAATATACTGCCAGAAATAGCGACTCCTGTGGAGAGGGCAGGCCCCTCTTCTCACCGTGATCTTGGGCCCTCACACAGAATGAAGAAACTGCAAAAGTTTCTTCAGATGTCACAGAGCTGGGGACACAGTAACTATGACTGCACTTAGTCACTTCAGGAGCCTCAGTCCCTAACTGTGGGGTGGGACAACAGATGGATGGATGGATGGATGGATGGACGGACAAATGGATGCCCTACCTATCAAGTGCACCCCACTAAAAGCTTAGGCCTGATTCTAGTCTAGTGCTCCCAGAATGAGGAGAACTTGAAAGACAATTCATATGTTATACAAAGTCTAAGCTAGACAAGTCCTAAAGGATCATTTATTCTAACATCATCATTGTATAGAACATAAAACTGAAGTCCATAGAGGACTATTTGCCCATCATCTTTGGAGACAGAATCCTGACTCCAAGTACTGTACTCTTTGTATGAAGGGGTTATTCTTTAAGTAACGACCCTTCCTTTTTCCTTGTATCCTTAACTAGGTCATTCAACCAACTTTGTGGTGACCGTCCTTTTACCCTCCAAGAGGCCCAACGATTACTGGATTGCCAAGGGGTCAGCTTTGCTTTGCCAGCTGAGTGAGTGAAGCGGGCACCTCAGTGCTGAAAAATGTGATCAGCAGCCAGAGATCTTTGAAAGGAAAAGAGTCTGTGTAACTGGTGTGTGATCAAATCAGCATTACTTCTGATCTGATTTAAGGGTAGTAAATGTGGCTTTTATTTCTGTTATAATCCAAAATAAAGTGTCTGAGTTTTTTCCTTCTGTTGGTAATTCAAGCTCTGATGTGAAAGCAGTAGGTTCAGCACCCACCTCCTAAACCTGCTCCCCTCCCCCAAGTGAGACCCAGACAGCTTCCCCTTAGTCACCTGGGAGGCCCCCAGGGGCAGCCAGAACTCAGCACTTCCTTACTCTCAGGCGTCCTTCCTCTTCACACATGAGAGGTCCAGTATATGCTTCAGTCACCCGGCCCCAGATGAAGATGAAGACTCAGAGCCTTCATCCGGGGAGACTGATGCAGTGACCCTGACAACCCGTAACAAATGAGAGGGTAAGACAACCCTGGCCCAGGGCACCAGTTCCTGACTCCACGTGGAAGAGCCCGTGCTTTCAGCAAAGCACAGGTGGGTCCTGCTGGTTCCGAGGGATTTCCCCTTCTGCGTTAGGATGAACCTGTGTGAACACGGGCCCAGTGCCACCCAGGTCCACTTGACCCTGACACCTCAAAAGCAGGGTTCCTTGCACTGGCGCTAAGAAGGAGTGAGGCAAACCATTTTGTGCCACCCCTGCCAACAAGGGTCTGTTCGCTTGACCTTGGCCATAACGTGAGCCAAGAGCCTGGGAATGCCCAAGCAGGATGTGGGCCCCTGGAGAAAGCCAACCACCCCCTCACAGGAAGTTGGAAGAGCCGGGTCAATCGTAGTAATCCAACCCTCCATTTTGCCTCCACCTCCCCACCTTCATCTCCACACCTATCAAAGTGCAGAACAGACATGGGGCACAGAGAGAGCGGCAGGGAGCACCAGCACCTCCATGGCTCAGAGGGCAGTGCAGACATCAGACACTGCTCGCTGTCTCAAGCAGGAACAGGTGCACTAAGCTTTGAGAATGGCTGCAGCTGCAGAAGCCAGAGGGCTGATGTTAGGTACCACAGCAGCTGTAATCCAAGGTCAGAAAGCTGCAGGAAAACGTACGACTCACAAGTTCACGGGCACACGAAGCAGGTAACTAAACGGTGGGATGTAGAGGCTGGCACCTGCACAGGCTTGTGTCTGCTGGACCCTGCACATACCTGCCACCACCACTGAAGAAAGAGGTCTTCTGCCCCCTCTGCCTTCCAGTCTCGCCTAAGTATGCCTCACTACGAGAATCTTAGTAATAGCAGCAAGAGAATCTGGGGAAGTTCAGCCCTCCTACCCCTGCAGTACAGGGGGTACAGAGGATCCTGAGGACCATCACACCACTCTTTCCGTGAGACCCTCAAAGATCTTCTGAGCCCAGGAAATGACAGAATGAACACACAAGAAAGTCTCTGGGAAAGAAGGGAAGACCACAGAGCTGCAAGCACAGGCAATTAAACTAAACCTAGACCAGATCAGGAACAAAGACACATACTTCCTACTGGTCCCACCCAAGTCCTGGGAAGACCCTCTTGGTTGCAAGCTACTAAGAGGCCCACAAGGACATAAGGGAACCTCAGCACAGGTGGGAGTCACTGGTCTGGAAACAGGGTGAGGGCCAGGTGCGGCTGGGGAGGGGAGCCTGGGCCGACTTGGCGGGGCTAAAAGTTCCCATTTCAGACTAAACTGGGGCAGTTCTACTCTTACTCATTTTATAGAAAGATGTCCCATAAGATTTTTTTGGAAAAGACACACACGTATAATAAATAAGTAAATAAATAGGCAAGAGGGGGAGCATTTGAGAACCACTCTCTTGCACGGCACCTGGCAAGCACGTCAGTGACACAGCCACACATGACTCATAATGAAAGCACCTGTCGGCATGCAGGAAGCGCCCTACTCACCAGACCGTGAACACAGAGGAGGGAGCGATGGCCCCACGGCCTGCGGACTCCCCCACATCCAGGACCAGGAGCGAACGGACAGGAGAGCAGCAGGAGGACAGAAAGGTGGACCAGCATCCAAAATTGCAGGGGTAGGCCCAGGAGTAGGCCCAGGAGTGGGCCCAGGAGTGAAGTAGTGATAGTGGTCAGAGGCCGTGAGCAAAGAGTTGTTTCTCTGACACATACACGTTGTGGGGGAAAGTTTACACACAAAAACTGGTATTTAATTATTTTCACATAATTCGTTTACAATTAATTCTTTTCATACAGCTCATTATGTTACAAAACTGTACATTACCCCAAGCACTGTTGGATAACCAAAAGTCATTTCGAAAGAGAAGCACTGACATTGACTTTGATTCTGAACACCTTCTCCTGGGTTGGGCCTGTCAAGGCCAGACCAGAGCATGGAGGACAAGAAAGGTCGTCCTTTAGTCCAAGAGGTCAGGGTCTTAGCCTGGCTCCTCCAGTCACTGCAGGGGGGGTGTCTCTGTTTGGTAAGCCAGAACCAGCACCCAAAACACGAGAGTCCAGAGAGACAGGGAGGCACTGCTGGCCACCATCTGGTGGCGGTGGGAGTGTCCAGGCTGAGGGGGCCGCAGCTCAGCAGAGAGGTGCCTGTTCAGATCAGGCACCTGGAGTTGTGGCACCACAGCACTAGGAGGCAAAGGACACAGCAGGGGCCACTGGATGCTCCAAGGCCCCCAATGCCAGCAAGCTTCCTTTCATCTCCCTTCTTTAGAGGCCAGAATGATCTTTGGGTGAAGTTCCTTGTGTCTTTGGCCCTCGTTACCACTGCTACAACCAAACCAAAAGCAAGCACTAAGATTAACATGACTGGTCAATCCTCCCCTGGCTATTTGGTTCTTGGTTGAAGAATTATTAAAATCTAGGTGTAAGAAGGCCTAATTCAGATTTGCTTACCATTAGCTTCTAGGCATTCTCAGGCAGAGACCTGCCTTACTGACCACACACTGAGGCACAGCCAGGCCCGGAGGAGTCCTCTCTGGGTCTCTGGCTCTCTCCCCTCCCCCAGCTCAGGTCTGGTGTGAACACCACACAAGACATCCCAGGTCAAGACAGTATGAGCTGAGGGGCCCACAACCTGGTCTGTCTCACTCTGCCAACTCCATGGCCACCTTGAAAGAAAATGGCCCAGCCTGAAAAAAGTCCTAAACAGACCAATTTAACCCTCCGTCAATGAAGAGTGGTTGAGGGGTCAAGCACCATGGGCAACCGGATGCCAAAACGATCTGCCCCTGCCCTCCAGGTCCTGTTTGGCTGCCAGCTTCTGTTCTCATCCCACAGCACACTAGGTGCCTGCTTCCTCCCTCCCTCAGGATTAAGACGCTCACAGCCACTGCACCTGTTTACTCTCCTGGACCCGTCTCATCACGCTCTCTTGACTTCCCAGACTCCAACCAGAATCATTATATCTGGATTTCTTTAACATGCATACTCTCTCCACACCAGACTTTCACTGTTTCCTTTGCTTGAAACTCTTTCCTTCCTTGTTCATTTACTTATTAACTTATTCATTGTTATCGTGCACCTGTGACGGCACTGGGTCCCTGAGTCTCCTGATCCAGACTTAGAAGTCCTACTCATTGGGGTCCACTTTGTCAGGCTTCTTCTGTGCAGCATCCCCCGCCCCCGCCCCCAAGTAGGAACCTCCAACACACACATATGGACAACATGCCCACGGCACCCTGCACTTGGCGTGCAGATCATCAGCTCAAAATGCAGCTTTCTCCCCAGACCGTGAGCTCCATGAAGACAGAGAGCCACTGTCTATCTGGTTCACTCCAAAGCCATAACAGCAGGAATGCAGGAGGAACTCAGTAAGTTCGGATTGAACTTAGTTTGATCCTGGATCCCAAGCCTCTCAGTGCAGTTCTTCCATCAGCCCCATGCCACACAGACCGGGCTGGGTCACCTCCTGGATCCGCTCTGATCCACCCCCCAGGCATCTCTGAGAGTGCATACATTCTGTGGCCATTACGCTCCTGTAGGGGAGCTGAACAGCCCATTCCTACAGAGCTGCTTCCAGCTCTGTAAACCTCTGAAATTCTCCTTGATCTGTGACGGAGAAAGGGATAGCAAATCAAGTTCTTGACAACCTTTAGCCACTCTCATTCTACTTTTACCTGTTCGCTTTCAGCAGACCCATCCATGCCCCTGCCGCCACCCCCATTTGTTAACAAAGATAAACATGGTACCCTTTCCCTGGTTTTAAGCAACTACCTTTAATCCGGACTCATCTCTGTCACAGTGGACAGAACATCACTGCCTGGGGCCGTGGGGAAGGTGCAGCTCCATTTTCACCAGAGCATTGAACTGCTACCCCTTAGGCAGAGTGAGAACATTCCTGGCCTCCTCCTCACCCATACTCCTGGGGAAAGGATGGCAGCGGGTGATGGGCTTTTTGCAGGCCTCACCTCCCCTCCAATCGGACCCACAGGTCGCTGAACTGCCGAAGCTGCCACCTCCACTGCGGCCACCTCCGCTTCTTCCGGAATTTCCACTTTGCCTCGCCAGGCAGGTTGTACTTCTGGGCAGGGACACATGGGACAGCAATAGTGAGTGCACCACAGATGCAGCTTCCGGTACCGATGCTTCCAGGGTGGGTACTTCCGGAGTGAAGACGAAAGGGGCTTTTATTCTTCTCTCTGTAAACAGGGATGTAAGGAAGAAGGGTTTGAGCACAGTCCCACAGCATGGCACCCTCCCCACCTCCCCACCTCAAGGCTCGGGACCTCACGGGTAATGTGAAAGTTCGGGCCAGCCAGGGAGGGCAGGATTCTCCAAAGCACCCCGAGATTTGATCCCATACCCTCACTGTACTTTCTCCAAATCTCCCAGCCCTGCGCAGGAAATACCAGGTTTCTTTTTAGCTGCATATAATTGTTGCCCTCCCCTAGATGGGTCAACACTTTCTAGAAAGTCCCAGAAAACTGCAGCATTTAAAGAGAGGTGAAAGTCTCTAAATGCAATTTACTCAGAATAATTGAAGCGGCCCTAACTCTGTTAATCCCTCATGTACCCTTCGAAGGGCTCTTCTCAGCTCTTTGGCTGCTGGTAGCCACTCCGTCCCCGGAGTGGGACGGGACACTCTGGCTTCTAGTTCAAACTGGCTTCTAGTTTTCCCCTAAGCATGACTATTGTCTCCTCCAAAACTCTTCCAGTGAGGAAATAAGCCATTGGGATGATAAAATTTCTTCCTACAACATGACTTTTGTCAAGGGTTGGGAGGGACGGGGGCCGGTAGGTAAAGAATCCCAGTCACTAGAGGTCAATCCCACTGCCTGCTGATGTAGCAGCAAGGGACCTGAGGAAAGGGAGGACTGGACGTGCCCATGTGCCTCCTCCTACCATGTGGGGCAGCAGACCAGCCTGGGTAAGAGCACACTCACCCCACTCTGGTTCAGCCGACGGACCGCCCGCCTGCAGAGCGGGCCTCAGTCCTGACCCACAGCCTGCCAGAGCCGAGAGGTCAGTTGGTCTTCATAGCCCTATGTGAGGAAGGGAGGTGTAAGATAAAAAACAAAAAAAGGGAAGGAACCAGGCTGGACCAAAACAAAATGTAAAAGAAGGGAATTCCTCAAATGGCAAAGAAAGAAAAAAGATTCCTACTCTGAACCATCCAATAAAAATGAGCTTTACTCCTCTTGCCTTCATCTTTCTTGTATTTGCTGTCCTGGGGAATCATAACAGCCACTTTATAGTGGCTGAAACAGAGGACCAGGAAAATAAACTGACCTGCTCTAGGTCCCGACAAGATTCAGTGCCATTTGTAAGTAATATTCATCACTGAGTTTTTTTCAGGTTATCAAGCTAATCTATTCTCACTGTGGAAACTATGAAAAGTAAAGACTAGTGTCACTATGATCTCCAGCGAGAAAGCCTAGGAACAAATGCTCACACGGCTCAGCCACAGGCTTGAGGGTCCCTAGCGTGGTAGGGGTGGCTGCTTCGCTGCCAGGAACAGAAAATTCCAGCTGTTACACACAAGTCTAGCTAAACCTCTATTTACTCATGAAGGCTTGACCCATGGCCATTTCAGTCACAGGATAAGACGCTTGTGCTGACAAGCAGTATAAGACTGCTTGCCTTCTGCCTACATGTCACATAGTCCACTCACTCCACAGACATCCCCAAGAAAGAAACATCCTGGTTGAGATGGCCTCTCTCCTGCGCTCATACCCACAAAAGGACATGTGGTACCCAAGAAAGAGTCCAACTTGGAGCCTTGGGCTAGATAATTAGCTGAGCCTCTGCTGCTTCTGTAACGTGGACATAGCTCAGCTGATTACTGTGAAGATTTAAACAGCCCATGCACTATGCTTCACAAAGGGCTGAGCACACAGTATGCACATCATGTGCATTCCCCTTTCTCCCAATCCCTCTGTCTGGCGATGCACGTACCCCAGCAGAGCTGACCAAAACCTAGGAGCACCCCACTATGTGGCCAAAGGGAAATATGCCAGATCCTCAATGGTATCTGTGGTAGGAAGAATAATGGCCCCCAAAGATGTCCACATTCTAATTCTCAGAACTTGTGACTATGTCGCCTTATATGGGGAAAAGGATTTTTGCAGATAAGGTTAAAAACTTTGAGATGAGAGATTATCCCAGACTATCTGGGGGGGGGGGGGCATCTAATCACATGGGCCGCTAAAACCAGAAAACCTTTCTGTGGTCCATGGGAGATGTAACTACAGAATAGTCAGAGAGATGCAATGATGCTGGATTTGAAGATGCGGTGGGGGAGTGGGGGTTAAGCCAAGGAATGTGAGCAGCTTCTATAAGCTGCAAAAAGCAAGTACACAGATTCTCCCCCAGAGCTCTCAGAACAGAAGGCTGCCCTTCCAACACCCTGATTTCAGACCATTGAGAACTGTGTCAGCCTTCTGAGCTACATAAATCTCAGATGATAAACCTGTGTTGTTGGAAGTCACTGAGCTTATAGTAATTTGTTATGGCAGCAAAACACACACACACACACACACACACTAGTACAGTATCTATTATCCTGGGAAGGGGGTGTTACTAGCTAAACCCTCCACCAGGCAGGACCCCTATCCCTTCCACCTCTATGCCCAGGGAAGAGCAGCAGCCCCACAGCCAGGAGCACTGCCTATGTATTCCAACCTGCTAACAGGTGGACAGTAGAGGCTGCCAGTTGCCCTCATCCCTGGCTTCCTGATACTGGCCCTACCCCAACACCCGGGGCTGCAGGGCCTGGAGGAAGCCAGGTCACCAATCAGCAGCCCTCCTGCCCCCACCCATACCAGCCTGCCCCAGATTCAGGTTCCATATGGTCCAGATCATCCTCAAGGATTGGCAGTGGCTGCTGGGAGGGAAAGAAGGAAGCAGGAGTCTCCATAGCCCCTACCCTGTCCTCCTCAGCACCCCTTCACTGCGGGCATTTCCCCTGCTCTAGGCCCTTATCCCCTCGCCCCTCCCCCTCCCTAAACAGGAGCTCCTGTGGAGACTCCATGCTCCCTCATGGCCTCACCTAGGAGCACTGCAGGCGAGTTCACCACTAAAGGGTGTTAGACGCTCCCCTAACAAAGCATACACTATGTGCCAGGTATCAGGATAGCTAGTACAGAAGCACACACCATGTTCCCTGGGATCACGCAAGAGGGTGAGCCCAGGCTGGAAGAGTGAGGAAGAGGTGGCGTTTTCCCTGGCTCTCACCGATTCAAATAGAATCAGAAGCAGAGGCAGTGAATGAATCCCTGGAGAGGAAACTGAACAAAGACAAATGGGATGGAGAGTAAAACATGGGAGAAGAAAGGACAGAAGGAGAGGGGTTGTGCAGGTGGAGGGGTCTGAACCGTATCCTGGCTCTCATGGGACCTTTCACAGTTTATTCGTCGGTAAAGGAGAAGAAACACCCACCTCCCAGGCTGGTTTTGAGGATTAATTGAGCGTCTCTGTGAGCCTGGCTGCCACCGGGAAATCGATCAATAAATATTCTTTTCCTTCCCCTGCAAAGTGTCAGCAGCCAGTTCAATGATAGCACCTGTTCTCAGCCCTCACAGTACCTCAGAATCTCATGGGGATATTTTTTAAATGTTGATTCCTGACCTCTCTTCCTCTGGGGACAGGTATCAGAGCTTAGGGGCAGAATTAGGGAGCCTAGAACAACCAGCAACACACACACACACACACACACACACACACACACACACACACACTGAGCAGGGTCTTCTCCTGCACTGCCAAGGACAGCATGTCAAACCCCTGCCGGTCAATCAGCCTGGGGCTGCAGGCTGAGATGTGACCAGGGCACTCAGCCCACCCTGCTTTCTGGAACACACAGTCCAATGGATGAGAAAAAACCCACAGTTCCCTCAAAACAGATAGAGAACTACAAAGGGCTGGGCTCTCCAGAGCTGGATGACAGGAGGGAGGAGGGTGGAGACCTGAGCACCACACAGAGTTGAACCAAGGAAGAGCAGGATTTTCCCCACCAGGGAGGCAGGAAGGGCGCTTCAGATGAGGAGGAGAGCATTAGCAAAGGGTGGAGAGGCAGTGGCCAGGACAGAGGTGTTCTGAGGCAAGAAGCATATCCGTGCTGGGAAAGGCAGTCTGTGTGCCAAGGCAGCATGAGGAAACTAGACTTGGAAAAAGAACAGTGAGAAACCACTGAGTGTTTCTGAGTAAGAGACACTCAAAAGATTAGTCCCACAGGAAAGGAAAGAATGGACCAGAGAGAGATGGCCATGCAAGCAGGGAAGAGGGGCAAGTTCCAGAGTGGCTTCGGTGGAGGAAGCCAGAGCCCTGGTCAAGGTGGAAGATGGCAACTCAGGAGAGGGTTTTCGTGACCTAGACGGTGCCGTGTGATACACTGACCCTGGGCTATGCAGAGTAGGGATAAGGCCATCCCAGGATGTATCCAGGGTGACAAGGAAACTGAGACCGGGCTGCCAGGGAGACCCCTTTGGAGTGAGAGAACAGGGTGAGGACTGGGCTCGAGATGACCTGGGGTGAAGGCAAGTCTTCCCAAGAGAAAGACGGCACCTGGAGAACAGCAGCCATCGGCAGTCCTGACAGCTGGACCCCGTCTCCGTCCCCCAGCAGAGGGGACAGGCACTTTCCCCCTGGAGTATTACCTCAGCTGAGGTCTCGGCGAGAGGGGCGGGTGGTGCTGGTGACCAAGGTTTGGAGGGAGTGGGGGCACAAAAAATGGGGGAGAAAAGAAGTTGTGGGGTGAACTGTGTCCCCAAAATTCATGTTGAAATCCGAACAACCAGTTCCTCAGGTGTGACTGTACTTGTAGATGGAGTCTTTAATGGGGTGGTTAAGTTAAAATGAGGCCGTGAGGGTGGGCCCTGACCCAATCTGACAGGGGTCCTCAGAAGAAGACATGTGGACACAGACACAAGGACTGTGTGCACATCGAGGAAAGGCAATGTGAGGGCGAACTGAGAAGGCAGCCATCTGCAAGCCAGGACAGAGGCCTCAGGAGAAACTAAACCTGACAACACCCTGATTTTGAACTTCTGGCCCCCAGAGGTGTGAGAACACAGATTTCTGTTGTTTAAGCAGCCAACACTGCCCAGCCAGCCAGCCCATGTCAGACACAGCCCCAGCCACAAGGGACACCGCAGAGCCATTTCTCCCAGGCCAGCGGGGAGTCAGGACTGGTCATGCCATGCTGAGGCACATTGGAGCCCCCCAGGGTACAGCCCACCCTGGTGCCCAGGCAGCTCTGCAGGGGTCTCAGGCCTCCCCAGTGGCTCCCCAACCAGGACAGATGCACAGGAAGGTTCCTTGTTGATGGGTCGTCCAGCAGGGACGGGTTCTACCTCGTAGCCTTCATGCCACAAAGCCTCGAGCACTGTGTTCTTGTTCCCCATGAAATGACCTGCAGTAAGAAAAACGATCAGAAACGTGGCAGCTCTTGTGACCACCAAACGGACCCCGAACACACACCGGAACAAAGGCATAACCCTCCAACCCCCTTCCCTGTGTCCCACCCAGTGCGGCTGGAGAAAGTGTCTGCAATTAGACCACCCAGCAGCCCTACCAGGCAGGCAGCCGGCGAACAGCATTTCAGAGGTGAAGATACCAAGGACCAGAACAATGGTGCCGTGAGCTGCCCCCAGTCGCACAGCTCAGGGGAGACCCTGGGAGCAAATCCCCCACCTCTGAACTCAGTGCTAACTAGATAAATCAAGCAAGACCCAAGCCCCTCGTCCTACATGCATTTATAAAGGCACAATAAAAAAAAGTCCATTTAGAAGCCACCATAGCTGGAAGCCTCAACTTGAATTTTATTTCACTTCTTTCCTTTTTCAGAAAAAGCAGCAAAGATCACCAGATAAGCTTACACTGGTTTCTTAAATATTTTAAAGGCCAAGGGTAAGTCCTGGGTTCATTTCCTTCATGTCAGGTTTTGGAGCTCAGAATGTCCCTTTAGGTGAAAGTTTGTGGTACTTTAACGTCCTAAATGGCTAATTAACTAGCAGCACCCCATCCTGTGACCCTGCAGAACTTTAGAGGTATTACTACCTCCACTTTACAATTTAAAACTGGGATAAAATAAGTTCAGGACTTCACACGCTGAGAAACAGCACAGCAGAATCTAAACCCGGGCAGTTTGGCTCCAGAGTCTACACAAGTTGGACAGCTGACTACTCAACAGCTAAAAACTGGGAAACGAAATGAAGGTACATCCAAACTGCAAGAGAGGTTGACAGCTGGCCTGAAGGCCTCTCCCTTGTCCTAACTCCACAGCTCTAAGAAGCAGAGTGAGCTTTGGATCAGCCTTTGGGACCCTGGAGAGCCAAGGATGGTGTGTGGCTGAGTTCTTGGATCCAACTGTACAGTCTATGACCCTAAGAGTGACAAAAGCCAACTGACTCAGTTAAAGGGGAATGGGAGGAACAGAGTGTGTATATGGACTGAACTGAACTGGGTCCCCAAAAATTCATACAAGGGGGACCCAGAAAACTGGAAATATCTTCTGGAGAGCAGGTGCCTTGTAGTACAGATTTCCCTCTCTAGGTGAGTGTGCTAGGAACCCATCTGTATCAGTGTACCAGCTGGTGTTGTTGTGAGAGGCTGTGTTTGGCTTCAGTGAATTCTTTTTGAAGACTTTCACAGCATTTGCCCATTTCACAGTGGGTGATTTACAAATACACCCGCCCATATCATGCTGAGTGTTCAGCAGTTTTTGACCAAAAACAGCATGACGCCCATGCCCCACCCTCCTTATTCACCACTCTCACCCCAAGTGTGACTCTGTTTTGTTTCTCCAGATGAAAAAGTCCTCAAAGGGAAACATTTTGCTGATGTGGAAGAGGCAAAACAAACAAAAAAACAGCAGAAGCACTAAAAGCCCTGAAAATCTACAAGTTCAAGAACTGCCTTGAGCAATGGGAAAAACATCTAGGTAGGTGTTTTATATCAAATGGAGAGTAACTGAAGGTGAGTGAAGTTTAAACATACAAGAATAAATACATGATTTTTTATAAATAAATTCCAGTTTTTGGGGGGCCCCCTCGTATGTTGAAACCCTAACCCCCAGTTCTTCAGATGTGACTGTATTTGCAGTCAGAGCCTTTAATGAGGTGACTAAGTTAAAATGAGGCCATGAGGCTGGGCCCTGATCCAATCTGACGGGTGTCCCTATAAGAGGGGAGATTTGGACACAGAGACACGAGGACTGTGTGCACATGAGGAAAGGCAGGGCTGGGGGCGGCGGGCATGAGAAGGCAGCCATCTGCCAGCCAACAAGAGAGGCCTCAGGAGAAACCACACCTGACAACACCTTGATTTTGAACGTCTTACATTTACTGAGTATTACGAGCTGCGGGCACTGTTCTTGATGCTTTATGCATCATTTAACAACCCCTCAACAACCCTATAAAGTGGGTATATTATTACCCCCACTTAATAGATGAGGAAGACGCACAGAGAAATTAATCAGATTGCACCTTGAACCCAGGTGGTCTGGCTCCAGAGTCCACACTCTCAACAAATAGGGAATAAAAAAAATTGTCCAGTGAATAAACAGCCCCTCTTAGCAATGCTTCAGCATTCTGTTTAATCACACTGTTCTTCCTACTCCAAAGGTGAACTCCGTTTCTCATTTTTTAATTTTATCTCCAGATTCCCACGACAAAGCTGCTCTGCGCAGCGCTGCAGCAGTATGCAGAGCTGTGCCCTGCGAAACAGGCAAGCCCAGGTGTGGCAGAGGTCGCCTGTGCCATCCATCTGACACGATTCCCACCCAGAAGACCTGCCTTCCAAACTGCTCCGATCCAACCCACCCACTGGTCACCAGCCGACCTGCTGCCAGCTTTGTTCTGGCCCAGAATGCACCTGGCACAGCAGCACCACAGGGCAAGCTGCTGTCATCTCAGAGTGCCCACCTTTCCCCTGTGCCGAGGGCCCCATTATTCTGACGCTAGATGTAAGGGAGGCTCTCGATAGATCAGTTGAGTTTGGCGGGGGTGGGAGGTGAAGGGCGGCCTTGTGTGCCCAGCTCCCGCACACTCCAGCGTTGGGCGTATTCCACCACACAGACCCAGCGCACCCCAGAGTGTGGTGTATCAGCCTTCACCTTGTATCCTGCACCTTGTGACCTGAACTCAGTTGTTGGTTTTCATTGTTTTTTGATAGATTACTTAGGATCGTCTATACACAAGACCATGTCAACTAAAAAAAGTGATATTTTCTTCCTCCTTTCCAGTTTGAACGCCTTTTATTTCTTTTCCTTGTCTAATTTCCATGGCTAGAACCTTCAGCACAATGCTGAGGAGGGGTGGTGACAGCAGCCATCCCTGTCTTGTTCCGTATCTTAGGGGAAAACACTGTCTTTTATCATTAAGTACGATATTAATGTGGTTGTTTCATAGTGACTTCTTTAACAGGTTAATGAAGTTCCTCTCTATTCCTACTTGGATGAAAAAGTATTGCATGTTATCAAATGCTTTCCCTGCATGTACAGAGATGATCATGTGGTTCTTGTCCTTTAGTCTATTAGTATGGGGTATTACATTAATTCATTTTCAAATGTTGTGGTAGGCTGATTAATGGTCCCCCAAAATATATCTGCACTCGTAATCCCTAGAACCCATGAATGTTATCTTCTATGCCCCCCCCAAAAGAAGGATTTAGCAGGTTATCATTAAGCTGACAATGTTGAGATTGGGAGGTTACGCTGCATCACTCACTCTGCCATGCTGGAGTGCTTCTCTCCAACTCCCCAGTCTACTGGTTGAAAATAAACACCACCTAGGGAGATAACCTGTTCGCATCCATGAAGCTATTAAAGAACTGTGGAGAGAAGGCCTCGGTCCACAAATGCACCTGCTCTCCTGCTGCTCACAGCCAGCGTCTGGCATTTCTGTCCTAAATCCCAGAGGTAACAACACTGTGATAGAATCACTCAAGAGGAGAGAATTATTTCAAAAAGCCTACAAAAGGCAATAATTTTCCCAGTCTGTCCGCTTGTACACAGTTAGTAATAGTTAATAGTAATAGCAGAAGTAGCCCTAGCGGGTATGGCTCAGTGGATTGAATGTCAGCCTATGAACTGAAAGGTTGCCAGTGGATTCCCAGTCAGGACACGGGCCAGGGCCCCAGTTGGGGGCATGCAAGAGGCAACCAATTGATGTTTCTCTCTCATATTGATGTTTCTTTCCCTCTCTTTCTCCTTCCTTTCTCCTCTCTCTAAAAATACATTAATTAATTAATTTAAAAAATAAAATATAGTAATAGCTGAAGTATCAGCCCCAGGCCTTACACTTGGGAGGCTCACAGTCAGGTAGGAGAGAGAAGATAGAAGATAGTTCGTCTATCTTCTTTCTGAACTTAGTGGAAGTTCAGAAAGTGAAAGGTGGCCGGAAGAATTTCGGATTCAGTGCTGAGTTTAGGAGAGAGAGCAATGCCTTCCAGCTGGAAAGTGTATCGGGAGCCCGGGTGATGGCACATGCACCAGCCCACTCAGCAACGGCTCCCCAGGCTGGACACCCAGGATCCTGCGGGAGCCACTTATCGCCAGCAGAAAGTCCAAGGTGTCATTCACCTCACCTCCTCCCAGGGGCCCACCTCAGCATCCCCTTCAGGGGGGTGCTGCATCAGAGGCAGGGTCTAGTCCAAGGTAACCTGCAACTCACCAGCTCCGAAGGCAAAGAAAAAGCCTTTGTCAGGGAACTCCTCCAGAAGTGCCTTCACCCGCTTCGCCGCCCTCTAGTTCCACTCATAGATAATAAGCTCCTGGCAGAAGTAGCTGTGGATCTCCTGTGATGCGTTCCTGAGGTGGCAGCGTGGCATTGACGAAACTGGGAACCTCCACCAAAATAAAGAAAAAAAATTAAGGGCAACAGACTTATGAATGATATGGTTTAATGTGAGCATTAGTCACCAAGCCTAGTCAGTCAAGATGCTGGCAAGTAGGTACGCACTGTTCTCGGAGTCCCCCACCTGCTCCTTTTCTAACTGTAATTTCACTCTCTGGAACCCAAGTGAAAAAGATTAAATGAAGTGCGGTCAAGGAACTATCCAGCTATTTAAAGCAGTATTTCTGCTTTAAATGATTCTCTTTGATGCCATGTGTTTATATAATGAGGCCATATCTTTGCATAGACTATCCATACTTTTAATTTGTTTAGTTCACACACACTTTTTTTAGTAAAAACAATTTTACATAGTTACTATTTTAGAATCAGTAATTATGATTCTACTGCCAAATACATGGAAATTTCTATAAACATTCAGCTGTTTCATAAATTCTACACATTTAAATTTTCACTATTTCTCCAATTCCTATTTCTCCCTCTTGCTTTCTCCAATGTTCTTTGCCCTCATGGCAAATAGCTCACCTGACTCCGGTACACGTTAGCCAATTCCAGCACTTTGGCTGAGTGTTATTACACCAAAAAGGTGGCAATCGGGGCCGGTTCTTGCAACGCAGTGGCAGTAGGTGAGGCTGACACACTGTGTTCTCTCCTCGCCCGGTTGGCTCCCCCGCTTCCCAACCCTCAGCCCCTCAGCCCTTCTCCTGGGTGCATGCTCTCCTCCACCCAGGGATGCAACAAGGTTAACCATTTCCTTAGTCAAATATTGAATAGGATGCCTACCCTGCCTGCTTCTCCTCTTTCCAGTAGCCTCTCAAAGACCTCCTTCAAGTCCGCACACTCTGTAACACAGCACCAGTTTCTGTTCTGTGGATAACAGATCTTCTTTTGCTATTCCCTTAAAATGATATTCTTTTGTTTTCAAGTCAAAATTCTTATCGCCTCCTTTACCATCTTCTTTTTAATTATGTCATTTATGTAAGATCCGCCTGTCCATTTCCCAAAATCTCTTCACTTCCACCGAGCGCTCCCCTGGTACCAGCCACCCACACGGGCACCCAGAAGGCACAGGGAGACCTCTCATCGCCGCCCTGCTCCCCCTTCTAAACACCAGACATGGCCTCGCCTGCACCGCTCAGCCCTGGCCTGCCCGGCCCTCGCTCCTCGATGGCAGGCACACTCCCCCTACCTCATGCCACCTGCAGGGCCCTGAGCAGGACAGGAATAGAGGCACTCAGGAAAGAAATGTATAAGACATCTGTCCCCTAACTGCTCCATCAGCCTTACCACTTGCCTACATAACCTCCAAACCCCCGCCCATGTTAACTTTTCTCTACTGCTTCACATTTTAATTTTCCAATTGACCTTGACCTTTCTCCCCACTTCCCCCACCCCCACCAAGAGTACATGTGAGAAATATCACCACCACAAATTCTGCTATTTCTTCTTGAGTGTAATTCTTGTTTTCCTTTTCTTCTTGCTTGCTTTGCCTTGGTGCTCCTTCCTCCCACTCTAGACTCTCCGGAAAGCTCATTATGTCCTTTGACACCTGTGGGGTGATGCTGGATTCAGCCTCTGTGGTCCCTCTCCTCAGTGCTGCCATTCTTTTTCACCTCTTACAGTCACTCTTCCTTGTGACAGGGTCCCCAGACCTGGACAGCATCAGTCACACCCACCAGTGTCCTCCTGCATGAGGACATTGGTCCCTGTGGGTGGAGGCAACACATTCCCCTATCTCAGAAGCTTAGCTGGCACTTGTCACTTTCTCATGACCTTAGTGGAGGGTGGGGAGGCAGCCATACTTCATCTCGTGGGAACTTTATTCATAAAGGCCTAACAAGTATCTGTCCACCTTGGCCCTGCAAGGGGGCTGCAATCTTCCAAACCCTGACCGCCTGCTCCCTTCCCCGTGACAGCCCACTGGTGAAGCCTATCCCGTGTGAACACTCCCTGCATGGCTCGGCCACACCCTGCAGGACTGCAGATGGGACCCATGTCTGGAAATGCTGGGAACCTTCCCAGCCTCAGGGTGCCACCCCTGTAAGAATACCACAGGCACTTAGGTTGCACCATGCTCACATGGTCCTGGAAGCCACAAAAGTTTTGCTCCATCATTTCTCAACAGTGTCACCTAAGTCAGCAGGAGGCTTTCAGACTCGGCTCCCTTCCCTCTGGAGGCTGGTTCAGGCCGCCTGCTGCCTAGGCCACAAGGCCTGCTGCTGAATCCTTTGAAGCTTCGTCCTCTGACTGGGATGCTGGAATTAACTTGAATCAATGCCCCTGTCAGTTCTTAAGTTTCGTAAAGAATGTTTTTGTTAGTTGCAGCATCTCATTCAACATCTAACTCTGACCAATTTTATTTTTAGAGCCCTTCATGGCCCTAATCCTTTGTACACAGGATGTCCAGGTATCAGTAGGTACTGTCTTTATTCTTGTTTCTAAATGAGCTGGGCAGAAGACCAGGGCCCTCACCTGGGAGCTGTCGTGGCTGAAGGTGACTTAGGTCCCTGCAGTTATACTGTTTGATGAGGTCCTCGGTCATGTAGGGGACCTGAAGGCTGCCTGCTCACAGGCTCTCCTGCTGCAGGAGGGTCTGGTTCAAAGCAAAGATGACCTGAAAGAGAGTGGAGGAAACACGGGCCACTGTAAGTTCTCTGCCCAAGCCATCATTACTGCCGCCTTGTTTCCTTTGTCTGTGTTTGACAATAGCCTCACCTCTGTGGCACTGCCATTTGAAAAGGGAACACAGATTCCTGGTCAGTGTCCACAGAAAATAAGGACAGCTCTGCCCCAGGCAGCCCCCAGCAGATCACACCTGGGGCAGTGCCTCCAAAGGAACAGAGGCCACCTGGAAGTCTCCCACAAGGGTGCCTGAGAGGTGAGGAGCCCCAGAGATGAAGCTTGTGAGATGGCTGAAGAAGCAGGGGAGGGGCTGCAGGGAGGGGCTGGGGCACACAGACAGACATGCGCACCATCAGCTTTCAAGTGCTGTGGGGGCAACTTCTTCGAGAGTCCCCCCAAGTGCCACGGACACAAGTGAATAAATATGGCCGAGAGATGCTGGATCTGATTGGGGTGGAAGGAGTGGGCTGTGGCCAGTTTCTCCAAGGAGAAAAAGGCCCCGAGCACCCTCTTCCATAGCCTTTTATTGGGTTGTAATACACAGGAATACAGGGCGGCCAGGATCAAACAGTAGATAACACTTCAAAGAAATCTGAGGGCTTCAGAGTCTAAGTCAGTGTCTGTCAGGAAGAGAGTTGCAGAAACTTTGGGAAACATACTCATTTCCTCTTGGACCCTTATCATATGAATGAAAGCACTCTTAGCAGAGCAGATTTCACAGGTTTATCAGGAAGTCTTTCTGATGCCAGATTTTTCCCCAGGACACGCTCTAGCAAAGCAAGAAGCTGCACCTCTCCCATCAGGTATTCAGGCTTAAGGGGATTAGAGCCAGGAAGCGCTTCTCCCAGAGAACATGGGGACTTGGGTTTTGACAAAGCGGAAGGAGGGGGGCGAGAGTCCATTGCTCTTTGTTGCAGCCCCCTGAGTCCTTCCATGAAGGCCTCCCAGGTGATCGAGTCTGGCTTAGGTTGCCCCCCGCTGTGAGGGGTCTTACCCATCATTGACTTCTGACCAAGCTTTGGGGGCAGGGAGAGGAACTGAGGCAGCGTTTGCTACCAGAGACAGGCTTTGTCTCCTGCGGCTGGCATTCCAAAGGTCGTCCCTCGCCCTTAGCCACAAGGGGCAGAGATACAATTCCTAAAACCAGGCAGAGTGGTCTACAACAAAGTGCATGAAGGACTGGACAACAACATGTACACCGTAGCCTGGCTGGTGGCTCGGTTGGTTGGAGCGTCGTCCTGTACACGGGAAGGATGCGGGTCTGACCCCCCGTCAGGGCACACAGCCAGGCTGCGGGTTCAGTCCCCAATTGGGGGATATGCAGGAGGCAATAGGTCCATGTTTCTCTCTCACATCAATCTCTCTCTCTCATTCTTTCTCTTAATCAATAAACATTTCTTCAGATGAGGATTAAAAAAATAAGAATATATACACAAGTCTTTTCTAACCATCAGTGGGGCATTTGCTGGCTTAACAGATTCATTTTGTCCATGGAATGTTAATGGACATTATTATTTAAAAAAAGGGTAGGGGTGGGAAATGAGGGCTAAACAAAGTCAAATACCGTATTTTTCAGATTATAAGATGCACATTTTTTACATTTTTTGCTTCAATTTTTTTTTTCCGATTTTCCTCCTCTAAAACCTAGGTGCATCTTATGGTGCAGACCCCAAGCACACCTAGCTTTTAGGGGAGGAAAATAGGGGAAAAACTTTTGAAGCAAAAAATGTGGTCAAAAAATGTATCTTATAGTCCAAAAATAGAGTACGTTTTATCTATACATGACATCACAGAGTCTTTGATACCCTAACACACTGTGTGTCCCTCCCCAAGGAGGAGACAGCGTGTGCTGTGTTCACTGGACCATCTCGTGGGAAAATCCAAATTCACAGAATTTTACAAAGCAGTGAATTCTCCATGGTACTGTAGAGCTTGGTCAGAGTAGGGAAGGTGGGGATTCTGACCCCAGGTGGGAACTGGGGCTGCCCACCCTCTACAAGGCTCTGACCACCCTGAAGATGCTGAGCATTGTCTCTGATTCTCCCCAGGTACGATGCAGACATACCACCTTTGACAGGTGCCCTATCGCACACTCACCCCAGGAATCAGTATCCAGGGACCCGCCTTTGCTCAAATAGTCCCCTTCTCTTTGCTCAAATGCAGACAGGCAGTCCATTCAAGCACACTGACCATGAGGTCTTCAGCAGGAAGTTTTCACTTCTCCAGAGACAATGCATTACAGGCTTAAGACAGCAAACAACCCTGCACAGCCCCACCCCCCTTCCTCTCTCCTTTCACACTTTCTCCTCCTCCACCAGAGAGCCTAAGGGCCTGGGAGACTTACTGATTTGCTTCCCACAGGCCACTGCTGTGGGGACCGCCTTCCTTCCACGTCCCTGCCTCCCTTGCTTTTACTATCTCTATCATAAAGTCTTAACCGAAGGGGAAGGGGACGAGCCTCCCTTTGTAATATCTTCTCCTGTCCTCTCTTCCCTTGACAAGTCCCCCTCCTCTCGGTCAGAGGCACCCTCAGCCTCTTCTGGAAGCCATCTCCCCAAATATCCGCAGGCAGCCTCTCCAATCTGGGGACAGGACCTCCTGGGCCACGTTCCCACCCTGAGCCGACAATGAGAGGCAGACACGCCCACACCTAGGACCACAAGGTATGGTCTAAGTGAGGAAACAGCCTTTCACAGAGGTGAGCGCCTGGATTCTGAAGCACACCGTTTGGCCTCTCCACACCCCATGGGAATTGCCAAATGACCTCAGATTTGCTGGAGGAACAAAGCTTTACAGGAGAGGGCGAGGGGCCTGATGAAGCACCTCCCAGACATGCCAGGCCAGGTCAAGGTTTCTCACGTCCTGTCTCAAACTCGTCCAAACCAAGTTCTCAAGGTCTGATTGTCTCGAAACACTTGCTGATGGATTTTGCTGGTTTAAAGTCATTCAAGACAAGCCCAGTTTACCTGTTGCTAAGAGACCTGCCTCCAAAAGTTTACACTGAACTGAAATGTTTTTCTTAAGGTGTTCTTGGTATGAGAGAAGACTGAGCCATTCATTTTAATGGCCATGCCGGTCTGCAAACTGGGAAGCACCTTACAGCCAAAGAACTTTGTTTATTCAGTCCTTTCTGAACATATTCAAATGTCATTCACCTTAAAGACATTTCTTCTTAAGAAGCTCCCAAAGCCTTGCTAGAATGTTTGCCTTCACTGTGTCTGTTTACTTTTGACAATTAAGCTTTACACAAGTTTGCATACCAAAACTAAGCCAATAGCATCCATGATGTTTTAGTGTTTACTACATACCAGGCTCCTTATTAAGTATTTTGCTTATGTTCTCATTTAATCTCCCTAAAATTCTAAAGTAGTAACTACTGCTAAATCGATTTTTTAAATTACAAAAATAGCCTTGGCTGGTGTAGCTCAGTGGATTGAGCGCAGGCTGTGGAACCAAAAGGTCGCTAGTTCGATTTCCAGTCAGGGCACATGACTGGGCAGGCAAGGTCCCCAGTGGGGTCACATGGGAGACAACCACATATTGATGTGTCTCTCCCTCTATCCCTCCTCTCTATAAATAAATAAAATACATAAAATAAAATTATGAAAATAGTAGTTAAATAACTAAGGTCACATAGCTTAGTAAACCAAGTTAGGGATTTAAACCCACACAACCAAACAGCAGAGCCTGAGATCCTCACCGCTACACTGTACGTGAGACACGCTGCCAGCAAGAAGCAGCAATTCGCTTTGGTCATGTGATCTAATTTCATTATTAGGCTTAAGTTAAAAAAACTAGGAATCTGAAATTGGGAAGGAAAAAAGAGGGAGGATGGAAAAGAGCAAGGTGTGGAAAGGAGGGAGGAAGAGGGAAAAGAGAAGGCAGGAAAGAGACCAGAAGGAAAGGCGTCCTAAAGCTTTCTTTTTAACTCAGATTAAGAGTAACACACACATAGTATAGGTAATCTAGAAAACAAAAAAGTATAACAGAGAAATTGTAAATGGCCCGTAATTTCAACACTCGGGTTTTAACTAGTTTTAACAACTTGTGAGTATATTGTGAATATATTTATTCTATGCATTTGGTACAGTTGATTGCCTTATATGTAAAATTTAGCATCCTGCACTTTTTAGTTGGCAGTGTAGGCATTTCCGTATAAGACTAAAGTCTTGCTTATCTTCACCCTGGCTGGTGTGGCTCAGTGGACTGGGTTCTGGTTCAATTGCCAGTCAGGGCACATGGAAGGTGTCATGAGAGTTCATTATTGTGTCAACTAATACAGGATAGAATCAAAGCAAGTACAGTGATAAATGTTCCTGGCGTTCTTCATTTATTCATTCTTCCTTCCATTCATTAGTTCAACTAAATAGTTACTGTATGGTCAGTGATCCAAGACCTGAAGATGCAGTAGTGAACAAGAAAGACAAGATCTTGCCCTTGTGGGTTTTCATTTTATCCGGAATGCGAGGTGAGGCCAAGAAGAATCTGGAAAAGGGGAGTGGGGAGAGGGCTGAAGGAAGAAGGAAGAAGTGGCCCAGAGTTTCATTCTGTAATTTCGGGCTTGCTGGGCTGCCCATGCACAAGCAAATCAAACCCGTTCCCAGGAGTGTCCCTCTGCTGCTTTGCCTTAGGGGGAGGAGGTCACCCCCTGTCACCCAGCACCCCAGAAGGGGGCATACAATAACCACGAGTCTTTTAGGGAGGTTTGAATTGTGAACTTCGAGTCAGAGTTGGTGCTGAATCTTTCTTTCGTTACTAAAAATCACAGAAATGCACTTTTTAAATCTCTAACACAACTCCCTGTAATCACCATGTCTTTCTTTCCAGAGCTGCTGCAGCTGCTCTAACCAATGGCCCTGGGGGCTTTCATGTGGTGCTTGTTTGAATCCTAACTAATCCTGAAAGGTCCTAAGCATCTTGCAGATTAAAAGCCAGCACAAGATAAACAATGACCACTGTGCCTCAAGTGTCCACTTAAAAGCTGAGGGGGAA